GCACCAGCTGTCTTTGCAATTGGAAAAGCATTTTGTATTTTACAATAGTATGATGGTTGGAGCTCGTAGAAATTCAGATATTCTGTTTTCTTTCTCTGTATTGTTGGGTGGGTTTGGGAGGTGGTCTCAGGTTTATGTGGGTCAACCCATTTTGTAGGATCTTATGATTTCTTATGATTGAAGAATTGTCAAATGAGTATGTGTTGAACATTCATATGTTGATAAGGTTCACAAACTGCGCCATATCTGGACCTTCTGGTGACCATATATTGAATACTGGAAGTATATGTCATGCTGTTCACATCCAATCATTTTCTTTCATTTTACCTACGTGTCAAACATATTGGGAATTTTTGGCAGGCTTGATGAGAGGAAACCGCGGAAGGATTTTATACTGGAAAGAAATTTACTTCATCCTGACCCTTTAGAGAAAGCCCTCTTCTCCAGAAGAGAAAGAAAAATGTTAGCAGTACAGGGTGTTCATGCGCATATCGTGATTTATTCTGAAATTTATGGTACTATCACTTATGGTAAAAATATATTTATAAGACTACAATTCTGAAATTTCATTTGAAATAAAAATGATTTTTTTAATAATTTATGAAGGTCTGGCAAGTTTATCTACCTAGAATTTTAATGCTGGTGTCTGCCCTGCCTTGCTCGTATACTTGTTATTCATTTGTACTATGTTACCTGTTCCTACCGTATTAGGTCAAATATTTGTCTTTGTACTACTACTCAGAAGTTTCCTTCCTGTGTGTTTTCCATGTTCTCTCAGTAATTTAACGCCATGAATGTACGATTTCTTGAAAAGAAAAAAAATTATATTTGTGCCTTTTGAATATTGTTTTTTTTTCTTATTTGTCATATTCGCCTGACTGACGTACTTTAGTGATCTCTTTTTTTGGTTCTTTCCTTGCTTATAATATAATTGCTGAATTTCACGAATTCTGGTCATACTGGAATTACAGCCTTAATGTGGAGTTAGAACTGGTTGGGTTTCCTAGTAGTCTACATGTTAGTGTCACCTGGTTGGGTTTCCTAGTAGTCTTCATGTAGGTGGTAACACTAGTTTGAATAAGAGGACCAAAATTTGTTGTTCACAAATGGATGAATAAACTTTTGGTCATGATTTCTTTCTTTGAAAAAATTCCTTGGGACTGACCTAAGCACTTTTAGTTATATGATTGTTTTGACTTATTGAGGTACTTGTCGTGATTTTCTTTTTTGGTCAAACAATGGTGTCTATCGTCTGTTGGTGGACGTCGTTTCTTATATTGGGTGGGATCCAAAAAATTGTCTTACAAATGTATACTACGTTTTTATTGTGTATATATATATTGTTTGTCCCGTAGCTAGTATATCGATAACCATAATTTTGAAGGATGCTCGAGCTGCTGGCTGCTGTACATCTGCTGAGGCTGAAAGATTTATTGAGCAGAAGAGAAAGATGGAAGCTGAAGAAACAGCCCGTGGAGTGAAGGAGAGTTGCCAGGCTGGTCTGAGTGGTAAATTCCTCCAAAGGGCAAATAATCTCAAAGGAGAACTTGATAGCAGTGCTCAGGGAGGTGTCACAGATATAGATTCTGGTGGCAAGGACTCTTCTTCAACAACTGCAGGACTAGCTATTTCAAACACCTTAAACAATTGGGATGTAACGGTTTTTGTGGGGGCTAATTTACTCTCTGAAGCTGTAAGAATGCTGCTTGCACTTTCTATGTCTATAACCTATAAAAGTTGTTTGCTCCTTTGGGACTCCGATACAATGCTTTTCTGGGTAATTATTGGATATTATAGTGGTCTAGGCCCCAATAGACAATGTCACGAATGAGCAAAGTGTCTTTTGTTGGGAAAATAGGCTTTCCCACAAGTGTAAATCAATGGAAGCAATATAAATAAAATAACAGAAAATAAATAAGCACACAAGATTTACGTGGTTCCCTCAAATAACTTGAGGTACATCCACGACGACCGGTAGGTCAGTTTCTTCCACTATCACCAAATCAGATTACAAAGTGGCCAAAAGGCATAAGCCTTACAAACACACCAAGGTGTAAATCACAAGAGGAAAATACCTCACAAAATAAGTGAACCAAATCTCCAAGAACAAACCGCAAGAAACCCAAATATCAAGTGAAGAAATATTACCCACTTGAAGAACAAATTTGCAGATTTTTCTGGCACCAAAAAGGAGGAGAAGAAGAAGGCTGAATTTTTGTTGAACGAAAGACTGCCGAAAAAATATGTCTTCTTGCCAAACCAACAGAGAATAGATGAACCAAAGAAAAAGGACAAAACTTATAGTCTTTGATGGCTGTCAAATTCCTTTTTAACTAGAAGACTCCAAACCAAGTCTTGTATAAGAGTCCTACACGGGTAAACCACCAAAAAATTAGCAAATTGATGAGTCCCACTAAGGAGGGAAACCCAACAATTCTCCCCCTCCCGACTTATGTGGAGGATTCGACCATTCCCGCCAAAAGTCGACACTTCTCATGCTTGTCCTTAGTCAATGTCTTAGTTAACATATCCGAAGTGTTATCATCAGTGTGAATTTTTTCAAGTTGTAACAACTTATCATTCAAGACATCACGAATCCAATGATATCTAACATCAATATGTTTCGATCTCGAATGAAATGAAGAATTCTTGCTCAAGTGGATTGCACTCTGACTATCACAATAAAGGACATACCTTTCTTGTTTCAAACCCAACTCTTGTAAGAATTCCTTCAACCACAATAATTCTTTGCAAGCTTCAGTGATGGCGATGAACTCAGCTTCTGTGGTGGAGAGAGCAACACATTTCTGTAATCTTGATTGCCATGCCACTGCTCCCCCTGCAAAAGTAATCAAATAACCAGAAGTAGATTTTCGACTATCAACATCACCAGCCATATCAGAATCTGTGAACCCATCAAGAATAGGCTCGCCTTTACCAAAACACAAACTCATCTTTGAAGTGCCCTGAAGATACCTCATAATCCATTTCACTGCTGCCCAGTGTTCTTTCCCTGGATTAGACAAAAATCGACTGACAACCCCAACTGCGTGAGCAATATCCGGTCGAGTACAAACCATGGCGTACATCAAAGAACCAACTGCTGAAGCATAGGGAATTTTCTGCATCTCATTTTTCTTTTCATCACTTGTAGGACACTGACTTGAGCTTAGTTTGAAGTGGCCTGCAAGTGGACAATTAACAGGCTTTGCTTTGTCCATATTGAACCTCTCAAGAACCTTTTTAATATAATTCTCTTGAGATAACCAAATCAGCCCATGTGATCTGTCACGAACAATTCTCATCCCAAGAATTTGCTTTGCTGGACCCAAATCCTTCATGGCAAAGGACTTACTCAACTCTGACTTCAACTTGCTAATCTTACTCGTGTCTTGGCCCACAATAAGCATATCATCAACGTAAAGCAAGAGAATAATAAAATTACCATCTTTATATTTCTTCACAAACACACAATGGTCTGAAGTAGTTCTTGAATACCCATTCTCACTCATGAAAGCATCGAATTTTCTGTACCACTGCCTCGGTGCTTGCTTCAATCCATACAAGCTCTTCTTCAATTTGCAAACTAACTGATCATTACCCTTATCTTTGAAGCCCTCAGGTTGCTCCATATAAATTTCCTCTTCTAAGTCACCATGCAAAAATGCGGTCTTCACATCAAGCTGCTCAACCTCTAAATTCATACTCGCAGCTATACCAAGCACAGTTCGAATGGAGGACATCTTCACAACTGGTGAGAAGATCTCATCAAAATCAACTCCCTTTCTCTGATCAAAACCTTTCACGACAAGTCGTGCCTTGAATCTCGGTTGAGAACTGTTCCCATCATTCTTTCGTCTGAAGACCCATTTATTTTTCAAAATTTTCTTCCCTTTAGGCGGCTTCACCAAATCATAGGTGTGATTCTCATGCAAAGACTTCATTTCCTCTTTCATTGCCTTGAACCATTCAGTTTTGTTCTCATGCTTCAAGACTTCTTGATAAGTCCCTGGCTCCCCCTGATCTGATATCATCACATACTCATTTGAAGAATATTTTCTGGATGACTGTTTTTCTCTAGTAGATCTCCTTAACGGTGTCTGTGGTAGTGGCTCTTGGGGTGGTTGCTCCCCCTCAATCTCTGGCTCAACATCATCTTCTGCTGCATCATCATGAGGTGTTTGCACTTCCTCATCAATATCATGAACAACAGAGGGATTGAGAGGATCTAAATCAACAAGATCATCAGTACTAGACTCAGCTGACTCAAGCTTGTCGATGTCTTCAATAGTCTGATCTTCCAAGAAAACAACATCTCGGCTTCTGACAACTTTCTTGTCAACTGTATCATACAACTTGTATCCAAATTCTTCATGCCCATAGCCAAGAAATATGCATTGCTTTGCTTTTGGATCAAGCTTGGACCTTTCATCTTTTGGAATATGAACAAAAGCTCTGCAGCCGAATACCCTCAAGTGATCATAGGAGACTTCCTTCCCTGTCCAAACTTTCTCTGGCACATCACCATTCAACGGAACTGAAGGAGACAAATTGATAAGATCAACTGCGGTCCTCATTGCCTCACCCCAAAAGGATCTTGGCAATTTAGAATGTGAGAGCAAACATCTGACTCTCTCAAGAATGGTGCGATTCATTCTCTCTGCAACCCCGTTCTGTTGAGGTGTCTTTTTAACTGTCTTTTCATGCCTGATACCATGATTTGTGCAATACTGATCAAATGGTCCAATATATTCACCACCATTATCCGAGCGAACACATTTCAACTGTCTACCTGTTTCTCTTTCAACCTTGGCCTGAAAAATCTTAAACACATCTAGAACTTGATCTTTAGTTTTCAGTGTATAAGCCCAAACTTTTCTAGAGTGATCATCAATAAAAGTGACAAAGTATAGAGCACCACCAAGTGTCCTAACTTTCAAAGGACCACATACATCAGAATGTACCAAATCTAAAACATGAGATTTTCTAGATGCAATGTTTCTACGGAATGATATTCTGTTTTGTTTACCATGGAAACAATGAACACAAGTTTTCAAAGGCGTACCTTTTATCCCCACTAGAAGCTCTTTCTTGAACAAAACTTGCAATCCTTTTTCACTCATATGTCCAAGCCTTCTATGCCATAAATCAGTGGATGAGTCATTCTCTAAGGTATTCACAACACCCTTGCAGATTTTTGCTTGCATAGTGTAAAGAGAACAAGTCTTCTTTCCTTTTGCTACCACTAGAGAACCTTTGGAGAGCTTCCATTTTCCATTACTGAAATTGTTGATGTAGCCTTCATAATCTAACTTTCCAGCAGAGATTAAATTGAGTCGAATATCTGGTACATGCCTCACATCTCTAAGCAGCAATTTGCATCCAATATTTGTTTCCAAGCAAATGTCACCCATGCCGACAATTTTTGACACATCTTCATTTCCCATACGGACATTCCCAAAATCACCTTGTGAGTAAGAAGTAAAGAAATCAACCCGCGAAGTAACATGAAATGAAGCTCCAGAATCAATTACCCAATCCGTCTCTTGGCCAATCAAATTAACGCTAGCATCATCACGGATAATCATGAGTTCATCATCGGTAACTACAGCTGTATCAATTTGCTTTTTCTCTGAATTTTTCTCTTTGTTCTGCTCCTTGAACTTGAGTTTTCTACATTCCCGCTTCATGTGCCCTTTCTTGTGACAATAATAGCATTCAACATCCTTTTTTGACATCGAGCTTGAACGACCTCTAGATTTATCACGGTTGTGCGGAACCATACTCTTACTCCTGCCTCTCCCCCGGTTTTCCATTACAAGTGCCTCGGAGTAAGAAGAACCTGATGATTTTCTTCTTGTTTCTTCATTCAACAAACTGCTGGTAACTTGACTCATTGTTACCACTCCATCAGGTGCGGAGTTACTAACTGTGACCACCAAAGTTTCCCAGCTTTCGGGAAGTGAACTAAGAAGTAACAAAGCTTGCAACTCATCATCAAAAGTAATTTTCATGGCGGCCAACTGATTCACAATGCTCTTAATCTCATTCAAATGCTCTGCAATAGAAGTACCCTCCTTATATTTAGAGTTCACAAGCTTTCGAAATAAAAAGGCTTTATTCACTGCCGTCTTTCTATCATACAAACTCTCCAATTTGGTCCAAAGACCATGTGCAGATTTTTCTGTAGATACATGATGAAAGACACTATCATCAATCCATTGCCGAATAAAACCAACAGCTTTTCGGTCTAGCTTTTTCCACTCGTCATCTTTCATCCCTTCCGGTTTGCCACTATCACCCTCTATGGGTCCATTCAAATCTTTACAAAATAAAAGATCTTCCATTTTAGTTTTCCAAGTCACCCAATTTGTGCCATTGAAACTAACCATACGTCCAACGTTGCCGTCCATAATTCACACACAAAAATATAACGAATCGGAACCGAATTAACCAATTGCTCTGATACCAGATGTTGGGAAAATAGGCTTTCCCACAAGTGTAAATCAATGGAAGCAATATAAATAAAATAACAGAAAATAAATAAGCACACAAGATTTACGTGGTTCCCTCAAATAACTTGAGGTACATCCACGACGACCGGTAGGTCAGTTTCTTCCACTATCACCAAATCAGATTACAAAGTGGCCAAAAGGCATAAGCCTTACAAACACACCAAGGTGTAAATCACAAGAGGAAAATACCTCACAAAATAAGTGAACCAAATCTCCAAGAACAAACCGCAAGAAACCCAAATATCAAGTGAAGAAATATTACCCACTTGAAGAACAAATTTGCAGATTTTTCTGGCACCAAAAAGGAGAAGAAGAAGGCTGAATTTTTGTTGAACGAAAGACTGCCGAAAAAATATGTCTTCTTGCCAAACCAACAGAGAATAGATGAACCAAAGAAAAAGGACAAAACTTATAGTCTTTGATGGCTGTCAAATTCCTTTTTAACTAGAAGACTCCAAACCAAGTCTTGTATAAGAGTCCTACACGGGTAAGCCACCAAAAAATTAGCAAATTGATGAGTCCCACTAAGGAGGGAAACCCAACATCTTTATGACCGGTTTAACTCCAATATGATGTTTGTGGATGGGAGTAGGGTTCCAATAATGATACCATAAATAACTTTTGGAAGCAAAGTGTTTTTTTTTGAAGTTTTTGTCTAAGTTAGGACAGATTAAAGTTCAATTGCATTTTTGGGGTTGTGGGGTAGAAAGATGAAACCATATCTAGTAGATGTTCTGTTTCTGTACTATTGTTGATTCCTATTCATATTAATCATCGATAGTGTGTTGTGGTTTGTACGAGCAGGAAAAACAACTGTGTGGCGAAATCAAGATCCTACCAACACATTATCTGAGTCTATTGGAAGCCATGTCAATGGGGATTTTAAAGGGCAATATTACCAAGAAATCCGAGGCGCATGGCATGTTCAACCTTGATCCAAACAAGGTGGATAGAGTATATGATATGCTTGTGAAAAAGGGTATCACTCAAGCGTGGCATGCAGCCAGCCTGCAACTTTGTTCGAGAGCTAATGAGTTGTGGATTCTAGAAAGGTAAATAGCGCCCTTGTGGTCATGAACTCTGTAAAAATTTTGTACTCAGCAATTAATATAGTGTAGTGACCTTCAACAAGACCGAAGATTTGTTGTGGAAGTAGAGAAAGTATTCATTGCAATGGTGATGTTATGCCTTTATTAACACGTGATATCACTAGCCAATCATAATGCCAAATATCTTATTTAATCCAATGTGATAGTAATTGAATAGGGTGGTGATTAGAACAGTGAGTCACTAGGTGATATTATTCATCCTTATCCCAAGGGGGGATTAAATCTTGGACAAATTGGTGCCTTAGGTGTAACCAATAAGGAGTGGGAGTTCCAATAATCATAGTATAGTAAAAGCAAAAGGTGAAGTTTTTTATTTTTGGGTAAGCACAAAATGTGGAGTTAGATGATTAACAAACTGAGCATATTATTTAATAATAGTTTTGAGTGTTATGTTACCACTTAGTTCATGTCATTTTTTTCGATTGTCGGGTACCTTTTTTGAATTAGATTATTTTGTATATTGTAAGTATTTTTTTTTTGTTAAGAGAAAAGGAAGTGGGGGGCGACCAGTAATTAGTAATCCCTCCTGACCATGATTATTAGTGTTTTTCCTTGTGGAATATTCAATTTGAGCATAATTATTAATTCAAAAAAGTAATTCGTCATTATAACACTACCAAAGTCAAACAATACCACAAAAAATGGAAGTACTCTGGCCTCTGTCATGTTTCCTCATCGTACATTTATCAGAAATGGGTCTACCTTGTCTCATCCAATTAGATCATGGATGACTCCCAATTGGCTTTCTTGCAGCCTCAACAGATTGCCAAATAATGCGAGATTTAGTTTGAATGCTTGTATGGGAGCAGTTTATTTGATGGATAATCTATTTTGGCATACCTCATGATGACCATGGATTTTTGTCTGGACCTCTTCCAAAGCTTAAAATCCTTTGGGTTCATTTAAAACGACCTAAACGCCTTGTCCAGCGTTCATTGGGCTTGAGCTGGACCGTGGCTTAGCCCCATAGAAGTTTGCAACAAACCAACTCAGAATAGGTGCAGTTTGATATCGGCGAGCTAGGTATAGATATCGGTTCAAGAATTGGGAGCATGACACCAAGCTATTCACCAAAAGTTGTACCGCGACACGTGGACATGGGACAATACTTAATAACCCTAACAAATGAATACCCGTCGGTAGTGGAGATGACTCACATATTCCACTCGAGGCATAGTGGGTGCAGGAAAGCGTTAGGAATGACAGACTTAGCAACTTGACTAATGACAGGAGACCACAGAATCAGTCAAAAAAAGAATTACCATGAAACCCTAACAACGCGATGTATAATAGCTAACGACACTACAAAGAAGGGGGGACTTTGTCGAAACCTGGGCAATATTCTATAAAAGGCTCACAACCAAATACCTTGTAACAAAAATCTTCTTCCCTAAGTAGTACAATTCCTAAAGAGTAAGAGCCTACAATATTACAATGGACGTAACCTTAGTCCTTTGGTTAGTGTGAACCAGTCATTTTGTTGTTTTCATCTTGCATTTAACGCTTAACACATTTTCCATCACACACACATTCATGTACTCTAAGGGCCATACCCCAGACTATTTTATAGTTGGATCTAGCTGATGTCGAGCACCATCACCTCAAAATGAGAAATATAGCTAGATGTAGGAACCTTGAACTGAATCACAGGTACACCCTGCTTTGGTGTTGTGGTGCTCTGTTTTTGCCCTTGTTATTTTCTCTTAGTTGTAAGGTTTATCTCGGTAGTTGCGTGGTGTTTTATGATTGTGATATGCAGTAGAATGGTTGTGTTATTCTTGGGTGGGAATGATGATCAAACTAGGTCAATAAGGTCATGGTTTGAAAATGTAACTGTTCTTTTATTCTGATATGAATTGTGGCAAAAAAAAAAAAAACAACTCATTGCGATTTTCATGCGATTGTAGCAGTTATATTGTGGCTTACTTTCGAAATTTTCACTTTTAGAGAGTTACCCTTCCAATCCCTTGATGAATTTGAAATGAAGGATTGCAAGGAGTAGAGTACCAGGGTTTCCCACTTCTTTGTGGCACTGCACTCCATATCCTAGCTGTAAAAGGGCAATCAAAAAAGAGATGCTTGTAGCTCTCTTCTCCATTCCTGCAAAAAAACTCAAGCAGTGTCCAAGTGCTGGATATAAGCCTTATGATGTACTTAGTTTCTTTCATTATTAATAAACTTGTACAAACTCAGTTTAACTGCTCCAATATTTGATGTTGTTCCATATACGAAACGGTTTTATATTTATGTCCTTCACAACTGGCTGTCTTTGAGACTTCTTCGATGCCCTAGAACTAATGAAAGTTCCTGTATAACTCTCTACAAACTAAGGTTCGATGTAGAGTTCATCATAAGCAAGTGTTATACTTTATCATGAATCTATCTTCATTTGACAAGAAGTTAATTATCTTCTACATTTTTATCCAAATAACTTTTCATCAAGTTGTGAAACACATGTACATCCGCAAGGCTAGAATATATGTATCAAATATGAATATACATTAGATATCGCTTGATAAGTATCAAATCGATGAAGCCAAATACATCTCGAATATTATGAAAATATTTTTTACATCTTCAGGATATGTCGATTATAAATGATTGGCACATTTCAGATATGCAGGGATACATTGGAACTAGATATAATATTATTTAAAGAATAGGTCATTGAAGTAACTCAAATAAGTTTTTTGGTAAAATAAAAATATGGAGTTTTTTTATGCAAGAGGAATATAATTTTGATCTCCAAACAACTAATCTATTCAGAGCTTTGTTTATTGAACAGGAGCCATTTGTAACATATTAGTGGCCTCCAACCTAAAATTTTACCCATTTAGGGTTGGTTTGATTAGAAAGAAAATAATGATAGAAAGTGAAAGTGATAGAAAGTAAAGTAAAAAAAAAAAGAAAAAGGAAAATAAAATATATTTTCTTTCATGTATTTGGTTAGCATAAAATATGTACAAGAAATTTTACAAAAATTTTCTTTCTATAGTTTGAAAAGTAGGAAAGTTACACGAAAATTTGTTTAAATATAAATATTATTCTTATCTATATTAGAGAGATTTATATCCTATAGATAATAACCAACGTGAGAGAAAACATGGGCAAAGTGGGAAACTAGATATGTCTACTCAATTTTTTTGAGAAAAAAATTATTTCCCTACACAATTTGCAAAAAACAAGAACTGCATGTTATTATAAAATTTTGTATACTCAAGAATTTAGTTTTTAACAATTTCTAGTATTATCATGTTAGACAAACAGTAAAAAATTAGAATTTTTGGTCATATATTTGACGTTTTGGAAGAGTTTTCCATTATAATGCCTGAAAAAAATTTAATATCGATATTACAAAAAAACATAGTCAAAAATAATAAACATTAACACAAACAAAACTATTATATGGAAGATTTGATTTTTATACAAGGGTAATGTTATGTTTCAAATGTTTCACCTCTGAGCATGATTTATTAGCTTCACACTTTCAAAATTGCAAAATTTCATTACAACATGGATAGAAATTTGTGTCTCTTTGTCTACCTAAATAGTGTGATTTTGTTCCACTTACTCTAACATACATCAATTAATTTTGGGACAATACTAAACCAATACAAGTCGTTAAGATGAATAACGTGAGAAACTCAATGGTGAAATGTTTGAAAGTGAGATCAGACTCTAGGTAAAAAAGGCAAAGTATAATTACCCTCCAAAAAATATGAAAGTGACCCACATGAAATGTTGTTCTTGTCCATATGCATAGATTAGTTTCTGCATGCAACAAAATAGGTCCCTTTTGCCTTCTTAATCGTTGGAATCACTCCACATCCAACTCTAAGTCAAGTCATCCCTGTGATATAATGTCTTTCTCAAGCCAAAAAATTGCAATGATCCTGACAATTTGCTTGATAGAATTTTCATTACAAATAATATAGGAGGGACCATTGAAGCTCTGAATGACAAGTTTTTGTTACCATGCAGAAAAGATAAGGAAATATGACTGCTATGGTCTTCTAATCTATTAATGGGCCATGTCGTGTTGGGTTTGTGTCATGTCAAAACATTTAACTCATTCGAGTTAGCGTTGTATTGAATTTTTTGTGCCTTATATAAACCAAGTTTAGTAGGTGTACGCCATACTTATTCGAGCTCATGTCGATTCATTTATTTTAATTATCTGACGGATCTACCCGTTTAATACCCAAAAAATTGTAAAGGTTAAACCCAAATCCATCAATTTTGCAGATCGTATCTAAAATTATCGAGCTAACTTTAAACCATAGAAATGGAAGATGAATTCATCTGATGCAATTTTTTTCTTCCAAAATAAGTAATTTCTTTGGCAATACTAATGGCTCAAAGGCATTCTTAGGAGCCACAAATGTTCTTGTCAAACAAACTTCCAGATGTGGTAGACAAAATTGATGTAATGATGAAATTTAATAGAAAGACTTAATTGAGACGAAATTGATAATTGAGACAATTAAAAGTTCGGGAATTAAATTAAAATCAAAGACAAAGCTTGGGAATCAATTATGATTTTTACTCAAAAAACACCCTTAACATCCAACTTGGAGATTAAATCAACTTTTTGGAATTGGACCTTAATACTATGAGCGTAATTTTCGTCGGCCATCTTTATTGAAGTTTTTTTTTTTTGGCTCTGACATTATTTTTAAGGGAGCGGACGACGAGATTCGAACCCACAGCCTTAAGGTCCAACAATAAAAATAGTGATCATTAGGTCAATCGTTAATGCTGATCTTCTTCCCCATCTAGACGTTTGTGTGACAAGAACATTTGTGGTCCAGATAAGGACTTTTGAGCCAAAACTATAAAATGAAGTAGATTCTATTCATTGGTGTTGACAGAAGTAGCATCTGAAGATGGGCTTTCCCACTTATTCATTGGTCTAACAAACTAAGGGTCCGTTTGGTAACTTTCTAC